CCCACTTAAGCTGGCCATTCGTAGCGTGAATTCTATCTGGTTTCTGATGAACTGGGCCAAATCCAGGCCAAGGTTGACCCTGCTGGTACCCACCAATTGAAATACTTTGATCCAGGGCGAAACTGACCAGTTTGGAAACTCAGGCACTGCCCAAGGGCCCGGAGTTAGTAGGGGGCCCCATGAGATGCCCCTGGTACCTTTTTCATAGGCTTTTTTAAGTTTGGGCAAGGACACAGGGGCCCCATGATCCCCTATTGCCCGGGGGCCCCATGAGTTGTCAGTTTGCCCCTGCTTTGGTCTGAAAAGCGAAGGCACTGCATGGAAGATTCCCAGCTGAACATGCATGCATCCAATCAGTTGCAGCCACTGTTCAGGTATTCTGACAGCTGCAGGTGCTGAGGCTGTCTGAATACAGTAGGCAGCAGGGGACATTCCTCCATCCACACTGCGTAGAATGGATGGAGAAATTGAACGATTTTCCTCGATCAGCCTGCAGGGATGAACAAGAGAAATAGCTGAGCAAAACGCATCAAAAACACGTGTATAAAAACACATAATGAACTGTGAAAAGCACTGCAAAATGGTCAAAAATCAAACTGCCTCTCTGTGCAATTGATAGCCCCTGTGTGGGCATGTTTTATTGCCTCTGTTTTATAAAATGTTTAAAAAATTAATAAAAACCATTGGAATATAAAAAATCAAACTGCATAGGTGAGAACGGAGCCTTAAAAAGAAAAACACTTAAAACCACCTTAATTTAGTCCTCTCCATTGACTGCTATGCGTGTCACCAAACTTTTCTGGGACAACAATCCACTCAACTTCTCTCATCCCTATTAAAGGCCCTGATCCCCATTTATTGAAGATCATTGAATTAAAATAGTTTGTGTTGTGTTGCCTGGCAACAATCACTTAGATTCAAGCTTTCATTCCCCAACTGTCACTTCATTTTAAAGTGGCGGTGTGAAGTCATTGACAAGTATTTACAAGTGTACATTGTGTCATTAATATACAGTACATTCTTGATTGGAGAAACATTAACCTGATCAGCAGAAAATCAGGAAACTGATATAGTAAAGTAGAACTGAAGACAAAACTTTTTTTTTTTTTTTATAGATAGAGTGGAGAGGGATTAGAACCCCCTGCCGGGTTCTTGATGTTGTCTGTTCCCCCCGTTAGGGAGATTCACCCCTCTGTTATTTATTTATTTGATTTCAGGTACTTATATAGCACTATCAATTTACGCAGCACTTTACATATATATTGTACATTCACATCAGTCCCTAACCCTCAAGGGGTGTACAATCTAAGGTCCCTAACTCACATTCATACATACACATCCTCTCCATCACAACCAACAACGCCACCATCAGTCCCACCCTGCAAGTCAAAGACCTAGGTGTCACTCTAGACTCAAACCTGTCCTTCCAACCTCATGTCCAATCTTTGGCAAACTCATGCAGGCTCCACCTCCGCAACATCTCCAAAATACTTCCGTTCCTAACCCCAGACACTACTAAACTACTCATTCACTCCCTTATTATCTCCCTGTAACTCCCTTCTCACCGGCCTACCCAAACACAGGCTATCCCCGCTTCAGTCTATCCTGAACTCTGCGGCCAGACTCATCCACCTCACCAACCGCTCCGTATCCGCCACCCCCCTCTGTCACTCCCTCCCCTCCACTGGCTCCCGATTGCCCAACGCTTAAAATTCAAAGTACTAACATTGACGTACAAAGCCATTCATAACGCTGCCCCAAACTACCTCACCGACCTGATATCCAAATACTACCCAACCCGTGCCCTTCGCTCCTCACTCACAAGACCTCCTACTTTCTAGCTCCCTGGTCTCCTCCTCCCACGCCCGACTGCAGGACTTCTCCAGGACTTCCCCCATCCTCTGGAACTCACTACCCCAATCCATCAGACTATCACCTACCCTCCTCACCTTTAGGCGCACCCTGAAAACCCATCTCTTCAGGGAAGCCTACCCCACCCTCACCTAACTGCCGATCTCCTCCACTCCTCCTACCACTCCATCCCCCACAGCCACTTCCTCCTGTACCACTCACCCCTCCTTCCTAGATTGTAAGCTCGAAAGAGCACGGCCCTCGAACCCCTCGTGTTTTGTTTTGTTACTGTATTGTCTCATGTTCTGTCCCCCACTATAATGTACAGCGCTGAGCAAATCTTTTGGCACAATATAAATACTGTATAATAATAATACTAGGGCCAATTTAGATAGGAGCCAATTCACCTACCAGCATGTCTTTGGAGTGTTAGAGGAAACCGGAGTACCCAGAGGAAACCCGCACAGGGAGAACATGCAAACTCCAGGCAGGTGGTGCCGTGGTTGGGATTCAAACCAACGACCCTAGTACTGCCAGGCAGAAGTGCTAACCATTTAGCCAGTGTACCATTATCACTAAGCATGAGAGTAAAGGAAAATTCCAAAAGTAAAGGAAAAGCCAGAATTCTGGGTTGTCACCAGAACAGGAATAGAGGAGAAATCGTCCAATCAGGGATTATTCCACTTTGGGGGGTTTCCTCTCACTTCCTGTTTTGGCAGTGGGACAGGAAGTGAAGAGAAATCTCTCCAATGGGACCTACGTAGAAAAAAAAAACAGGGGCTATAACCCTCCATAATTCTACCCAAAATTTAAAAAAAGCAAGATTTGCCTTTATATGCAATATAATAAAACAAACAAAAAAATATAATACATCTCTGTACAATTCAATGTCACTTATTACAAATCTAATATAAATATACACAGGAATGTACTAAATAAAGAGGAGCTGAACAGCCACTCTTTCCTAAATTGGACCAAACAATGCTTCATGCTGATAGGCCTCGATAAGCCATTTAGCGACCAGAAATGAGAAGGAATTGATTAAAGTGCACCTATGGCCAGAGTGTAAGCAATAGACCAGTTATTGAACAGAGGCTTATAGATGAGCATGCTTTTCAAAGAGACCTGTACTGGTAGGGCATGTTTTAACAGGATATGTTGAGCACCCCAGGAACTCTGAAAACTGGCCTCATGTAAGATGGCAGTCTTAAAGTGCATGTCCACTCAAACTTTCACTGTGCCATATGGAAATCCCCTCTGCTGTATTTACACCTGTTCTCAGGGCTATAACTACATGTGATGGGGACTCATAGGGACCCCTTGCTTCTCTAATTTCCATCTGAAAGGTAATTGTGATATAAAATAATAACTGCTTTGTAGTGGTTCCAAAACTAGATATATTCCTTTTTTATCCACACGTACATTAATCACTGTGTAGCCAGACATGTCATGGTCTACCTTTGTTATCAATTAAAATAATTATCCCAACCATTCCCAACCAGGCTTCTGTAGAGCCATACAATCCCTGAAGAGGTTGCTAGTGGTTCATTGAGCAGTAGCTGATTGACCCCCCATCAGATGGTGCCTGCACTGTTCTGGGGTCAATGACAGCTTTTTTAGCTGTCTATAATGGTGGCATTCTGAGCACCAATGTATGGGTTGGCATTCTTCCACTGATGACTAAAGTAAGGAAGGTTTTTCCAACTGTTGGCCAATGTAAGGGACATTCTTCTTACTGATGGCCAATGTAAGGGACATTCTTCCCACTGATCACCAATGTAAGGGATGTTCTTCCCACTGATCACCAATGTAAGGGACATTCTTCTTACTGATGGCCAATGTAAGGGACATTCTTCCCACTGATCACCAATGTAAGGGACATTCTTCCCACCGATCACCAATGTAAGGGACATTCTTCCCACCGATCACCAATGTAAGGGACATTCTTCCCACTGATCACTAATGTAAGGGACGTTCTTCCCACTGATCACCAATGTAAGGGACATTCTTCCCACCGATCACCAATGTAAGGAGCATTCTTCCCACCGACCACCAATGTAAGGGACATTCTTCCCACTGATCACCAATGTAAGGGACATTCTTCCCACTGACCACCAATGTAAGGGGCATTCTTCCCACTGATCACCAATGTAAGGGACATTCTTCGCACTGACCACCAATGTAAAGGACATTCTTCCCACTGACCACCAATGTAAGGGGCATTCTTCCCACTGATCACCAATGTAAGGGACATTCTTCCCACTGATCACCAATGTAAGGCTGAATTATCCCTCATACAGCAGATACTGTATACTTCTAGTAAACCTCTCCAATCTTTAGCTGGGGCACTTTCCATTCATCCTCTTCTAATCATTCGCTTTCTGCTGGAAGCTTGTTTCTCCTCTTATTGGACAAAGCAACACTTACAGAATTTATTGTATATGGTATGATGGCATATCTACACATTTTAGAATGTGGAGTAAATATGTGCAATTGTTTCATCATTTCCTAGTTAGTAAGGATACATACTTTTCTTAAGCTTTTGTTTCCGTTTTTCTGTACATGTTGCCACGATAAGCTTGGGGCTCAACAGTGGACCTTCCAGTGGTCAGTTGGACATGGTCCTGGCATCCCAGCAAGGGTGGCTCTTTCATTCCTCCTCATTCCAACAATGGAAGCCTCATCATTGTATGTCTATAATAAGATGGTCTGAGATTTACTATTTTTTTTTTTATGTCTGCAGGCCATCTGAGTGTATCGCAGAACAGTGCCCGTAGGTCCTTATCGAATACTCCATGGAGGTCCATTCAAAGGACCAGTGGTGTCCAGCATTAATTAGACTGGGTACCCAATAACTTGTGCGCAACATAAAACTGTAGGACCTGAGGTATACAAGGTTGCAGATATCTGCAACTCAGCGTCACTGATAACGTACGTAGCATTTGTGTACAATTCTGAATGAATTGAAGTGACACAATTGTGTAACAATTAAAAAAAAGATTAATATTCCTAAAAGGTGAGATGAGGACAGTCCTTCACAGTAAGGTACGGTAGTTGTTCTGCAGTCAAGGTTGCAGGACGATAAATTTTCACATTAGTGTCTTTATACAGTCAATTTGTGTGACCACCTAGGATGAACAGCTAACCGGTCAGCCACCGGTAGTCATATTGTACGTGGCCAAGGAGGTGACATTGTGCGAATGGAGGCCGACCCAATCAGGAATAGTGCTGAGCCCGAATATACTGGATGCCCAGGTGTTCATGGCCAGGCTAAGAAGAAGAACGCCCATTAGGTTCATTAGAAGTCCCGTCCTTGCCTGCAAAGCGATGCAAACAAATGACAAGAAAGTGTTAGAGAGCTACCCTAGATATACAATATACCATCTTATACTGTAGTTATAGAATGAAATCACAGCTACACTACTAACCTGTGCTGAGAGATACCCTACGTCTGACTGACATCTTCTTCGATCAGTAACCCAGATCAATCTGTCACAAATAATCCCTCTCCACCCCAGGAATCATTTATGGATGGTGATGAGTGCAAACCATGATCCTGCCTCCTTATATATCTCAGAATACAACACCTTCCTCATATCTTTGTTTTATTTATTAGTAAGAGTATCAAACCATACAAATTCTGATCCTTTGTTACCAAATCAACAGAACAAACATATAAGGAAGGTGTTGTGGTGATGATAAATATAGATAAAAGATCTAGACCAGTGAAGTTGGGACTCCTGACCTTCAAATTTGTTCTGGACCAATGACAGAAGCCCGGGGATTAGATTGACAGCCAAAGAACTGGCAGAAGGAGGCCAGCAATGGGGGAATGGAGCATTTCATTCAATGCAATCATCAAGTCTACTATAAGCCTTCTCTGAAGTTTCAGCTAGTGATTGGGGGTGATGGTAAGGTAATGCATAGAGGAGAGCTCGCTTGACATGGTGACTTGTATTTTTTTTTTTCAATCAACACAAGACATTCTCTGTCCTGACAAGGTGGAGAGGAGGGGTGGTGACATCACGATCTCCACCTCATCGAAAGAACATCTTGTATGCATTGAGAAAAATAGGGGGCGTTCTGTGGATAGAGGTGCTCAGGTGCTGGGAGACCGCGGCCAGAGGGATGTAGTTGACAGCAAGCATCTGATGACCTCTCGCCCCCCAAATAAAACCACCAAACTTGATAAGTAGGCTTGCACAATCTTTAGAAGTAAAGAAAAACTCTGGTTCTCTGTAAGTAAGATGTTCTCCTATACTGAAGGTCCTCACAAAGCATGGCTGGATCTGGAGGGTGCTGGGGTGGGCTGTGCCCCCCCCCCCCCAGATTTCTGTTGTGCACCCCCCCCCCCCCCATCCCCCCTCCAAACACATGTTTGGAGAAGTTTGGGGATAGTATGATGTGTGCTAGGAGGGATGATTTTTTGGGGGTGAGACATGAAATGAGGGCACTCAACAGATCTTCTCCTCCCCTCATAGCACATAGCTGAGATTTGCTTGAATTTCCTTACAGACACAGCTTCAATCGCACTGTACAGATGGATGCCGTGTCTGTAAGGGAATCCAATCTCAGCTATGTGCTGTTGTGTGGAGGAGCTCTGAGTACCCAGGCTGTTTGCAGTGTGGGGAAGGGAGGAGGAGATCTGCTGAGTGCTTAGCCAGCGGTGACACTGTCCTCTTCTCTGCTGACCATTGTCTTCTGCCTTGCTGAACCCTTTACACTGCCCTGCTGACCCCTTTACACTGCCCTGCTGACCCCTGACCCCTGTCCTCCATCCTGCTGACCCCTGTCCTCCATCCTGCTGACCTGATAACCCCTTTTCTCCACCTTGCTGATCCTGTCATATGCTCTGTTGACCATTGTCGCCTACACTGCTGACCCCTGTCCTGCCATGCCGACCCTGTCCTCTGCCCTATTGACTTGATAACCCCTTTTCTCCACCTTGCTGATCCCTGTCATATGCTCTGTTGACCATTGTCGCTACACTGCTGACCCCTGTCCTCTGCCCTGCCGACCCTGTCCTCTGCCCTATTGACTTGATAACCCCTTTTCTCCACCTTGCTGATCCCTGTCATATGCTCTGTTGACCATTGTCAGCTACTCTGCTGACCTCCTGCACACTACCCTACTGACTTGTACAGGGGCAGACTGACCATTTGGAAACTCGGGCACTGCCCAACGGCCCGGGGGCAGTAGGGGGCCCCATGAGATGTCCCTGGTACCTTTTTCATAGGCTTTTTTGAGTTTGGGCAAGGACACAGGGGCCACGTGATCCCCTATTGCCCGGGGGCCCCATGAGTTGTCAGTCCACCCCTGGACTTGTACACTGTTCAGCTGCACACTGTCCTCTTCTCTGATAACCCCGTGTACACTGTCCTACAAACTAATGGCTTCTGTAGACTGCCCTATAAACTGCTCATCCTATCCTCTGCCCTGCTGAGCCCCTGTATACTACCCTACTGACCTGACATCCTCTGCCCCCCTGACATTTTTTACTGCACCCCCACATCAGACAGGCTAGATCCGGCCCTATCAGAAACGGTCATAAGTGACCCATGCAGTCCCACATTGAAAGGCGGACATTCTGATACTTGCCATGTCTTTCACCATCAAATGTCCCGTAGAAAACGCTATGGAGTTGGGAGGCGTGGACACCGGGAGCATAAAGGCGTAGGAGCAGCCGACGGTGCCGGGAATCATTAGGTATAGAGGATTCACTTTAAGACGGATGGCCTGGAAGAACAGAGTGTCATCGTTAAGTCAGGGTTAAGCGGTAGCATAGCCTAAATTTCAAAAGTACCCTGAGGTCCCAGCTAAGAACCATATAGCACAAGATATGTGCTTTACTCATTACGCCAGAGCTACCCAGGCGCCTTGTGATCATGGGACCAATCAAGTTTTTGTTGGCAGGCCTGTGAGGGTTTCTTATCACAATTTTTGTACGGTGCTAGATGTCAACCCTTAACTACTAAAATTAATAACTAAATAATAATTAATATTATCCCTCAAGTGATTAAAAATAAAAAAGCAGAACACCTCACTAAATCGAATGTAGAGCAGCTCTGTATTATGATCTGGACTAAATCAATTGGAGAAAGCCAGCCACAAGGCAGGTAGCTACTGATGTTTTATCCAAGTGCTTTGGGGACCCTTTTTCCTTTATTGAAAATAATGTGCAAAACAAAGATTGTATACTTATATAGTAAAAACAAAAACCATCACTGAATACTTACCAGTTCTGATAATACCGGGAGGAAGACTATAATGGTCGCTGTGTTACTGGCGAATTCAGTGAAGGAGGCGATGAGTATAGTAATGAGGAGGACGGCCACAGCAGCAGGATGGAGACCCTCCAAAGGCTGCAAACGGCCTCCAATCCAGGTGGATAAACCAGACACCTAGAAGGATAAATTTTTTTCTATTATTCCTATTTACTTTTTTAGGGTCACATGAACCAAAACGGGCGATTCACTATTGAAGAATAAAGACGGGAAGAGGTGCAGGGTCATTAAAAAAGAAGCAGCACTTCCTCTTAGCATCCCTATTTTACTGAAAGAGGAAATGGAGACAGGCTACCCAGAGTCCCCCTTTAAAGGGCATTTGAACCCCGAAACAAAAATGTAATATATTGCAAATCATGAGTCCATGGTGGCTGCAATAGTTGTCTTTTTTCAGCTTTTCCCCTTTATTTTCCCCTGTTTTGGATTTTAGTGCAACAGAGGCTGTGTTGTCAGCCCACAGCAGGAGGTTACAGCTAGAAAATGTCCACATATTTTTATTTTTTCCCAGACATACACTTTAAAGCTAAAATACCTAAACACCCAACGCAGTCATTACTTTTCTGTTGCCACTTTAGCCTGCCATGCTGGTCTCACTCCTTCTGTCGCAACAAGAGCCTATAAACCACAACATTCCAAATACAAAGCAAAAAAGAAAAAAGCAGACAGGCGCTCACCTCACACCCCTTGGCCATGGCGAAGCCCCCTCCCAGCAGTAAAATGATGTTCCATGGAACAGTGTCTTGTGCTTTCTTCCATGATAACAAAGGTTTATTTTCTGTATTCGGAGCTGAAGGGTAGAAACATCCAAATCATCCGTTAAACTTTTTTAGTTAGTATCCTGGATTGATATTTAAAGCTGAACTCCAGGCACATAAATATTTCATTTAAATCATTCCCTTAATAGCCTCAAAGGATAAAAAAATCCACTTTGTGTACACCAAATGCCTTTGCAAACCCCGATACTACTTTGTAAAAGTAGAAGTGACATCATTCTTGTCCTGTAGATAGCCTGAGCTGTGGGAGGGGCCCAGCAGGCTGAACCTGGTCTCACATCAGTGTTCTCAATCCCACTGCACATCACAGTCCCCTCCTCATTCACAGCAAGATCCCCACTTGATGAATGTCCTCAGCTCCCCCATTACATCACCCACCTCCACCCCTTTCACAGTAGTGTTCTCACATTTCCTTGACATCCCCCCCCCCCAACAATACTGTCCTCTGCCCCCTTCACTGAAGAGTACTTTACCCCTTTTTACATCATCCCCCCACATTACTGTCCCCAGACCCCCATGTTACTGTCCACAGCCCCCATATTATTGTCCTCAGCCCCCCAAGTTACTGTCCTCAGCCCCCCAAGTTACTGTTCCAAGACCTCCCCATGTTACTGTCCCCAGACCCCCCCCCCCCCCCCCCCATGTTACTGTCCACAGCCCCCATATTATTGTCCTCAGCCCCCCAAGTTACTGTCCTCAGCCCCCCATGTTACTGTTCCAAGACCTCCCCATGTTACTATCCCCAGACCCCCCCCCCCACACGTTACTGTCCTCAGTTCCCCATGTTACTGTCCTCAGCCCCCACACACCACAGTCCTTAGCCCCCAACATTGGCCCCCCTTCACACTAATGTCCTTAGCCCCTTTAACTTCCCCCCCACACACTATCCTACCTTACACAGACAGTGTTTGATTGCCAGGACTTCCCTTCATCCTAGCAACCAATCACCTGCTTGTTGTTCTCGGGCAGCTCCCACCCTCCATCCAGAACTGTCCTGCATCCCGCTGTCAGCTCTGTGAGGATGACCATGAGACAGCTGGGGGAAGAAAAGGCTCTTAAATGGCAGGACTGCATGTGTCCAGATGGGACAGTGACTCAGTCCATATCCAGACCCCGGTCCGCCATTCAGTGATGCATGCCTTGCACTGTGTTCATGAGCAGAAGCACACAGCCCCATAGCCTAGGGTTGCAAGGCACTCCCCTCCTCCACCCCTCCTCTATTCTCCAAGCTAACAGACTATCCCCAAACTGCACTTTCCACTGTTAATGCTTTCCTGTGAAGACCAGAAGTTGAGAGAAGCAGCACCGAGCGAGTAAGAGTCGGCAGCATTGAATGTTGTGAACTGCAAGCGCTGGGGTAAGAATTTTAACAAAAGGTTTCATACTACTTTAATACCAGGTTTGTGGCTTTCTGGATCCCATAGCAGAAATTTTCTTTTACTTCCTTTCTAGAAAATACAACCGAAAGTGAGAAGAAACCTCTCTGTCGTGAAGGAAGTCCTCTCTTACTGTAGCTAGTGTTCACTGTAACATGTGTCACTATTGAAAATGTTATTCCTAGTCCTGTTCTGGTGACTTCTTCACTTTGTCTCACAGGATGAATAGAGAGAGGGAAATCCCCAATGGGGACACATGACTTGCTCATGGCTCGAACCCTTCCCTACTCTATCCAAAACTAGAAAAAATGGATCAGATACATTTTATTCAGAAAGTATATTGAAGCCTGTAGTGAGGGAGGCATGGAAACTACTTGATCATTAATATGAAGCTCACCTTTCATATCGAACCACCAAGTCAGGGAGGGCTTCTCAGAGGGGAAGAAAAATAAAATGACAGATATGGTAATCCCAGTCACTGCATCCGAGGTGAAGCTGCCAGAGAACCGCAGTGAATTAATGATATTATAGCATTAGCAAGCATTAGACCAAGAAGATTAACATTCTTAACAACAATCCTGCTGTGACCGCTATCAATGAAGGCTGGAAATATGATCTACTCATACATAGCAATAGCTGAGAAGATAATCTGGTGTGAAGTATGTCAGTCCTATACTGTATAATTTGATAATGGTACATCCATTAGAGTTCTATGACCTCATCATTTAGCAGCAGATGACTAGAACCTAAAATTCTGGAGGGAATATCCTTCCTTTGGAAAGCTATGACCCCATCATTTAGTAGAAGATGATTAGACCCTAAAATTCTGAAAGTGATATCCTTCCATTGGAGGAGACTTCTAACCCCATCATTTAGCATCAGATGAGAAGAACCCAAAATTCTCGAAGGGATATCTTTCCATTGGAGACCTATGACCACATCATTTAATGGCAGATGAGTAGAACCCAAAATTTTTCAAAGGGATATCTTTCCACTGGAAACCTATGACCACATCATTTAATGGCAGATAAGTAGAACCCAAGCTTCTCGAAGGGATATCTTTCCATTGGAGACCTATGACCACATCATTTAATGGCAGATGAGTAGAACCCAAAATTTTCAAAGGGATATCTTTCCATTGGAAACCTATGACCACATCATTTAATGGCAGATAAGTAGAACCCAAGCTTCTCGAAGGGATAGCTTTCCATTGGAGACCTATGACCACATCATTTATCGGCAGATGAGTAGAACCCAAAATTATTGAAAGGATATCCTTTCATTGGGGACCTAAGACCCCATCATCTAACAGCAGATGAGTAGAACCCACAATTCAGGAAGGAATATCCTTTAATTGGTTATCTATGACCCCATAACTTAGCAGTATGAGTAGAACCAAAAATTCTAGAAGGGATATCCCTCCATTGGAATTTACGGGAGATACAACTACCGAATGCAAATACTAATTTTGGATGAGGACCCCTTAAATTTTTTTTTGTTGTACCCACCAATGTGTGATTTCTAAGATAAGAGTAAGGATGCAGCAATGTCTTACCCAGGGGTGAACGCTGATGCCCATCCAGGGATGAACTTGGGGTCTCTGGTGAACAGCAGAATGGCAAACAGGCAGAAGAAGAAGAAGACGGCTTTCTCTGCAAAACTAAGACATGAATATATATGGAGGAGACATTCTTAGTGTGCCTGTACAACCTGCCAGGGCATAAAGCGGACAGGCGTCATCATTACACCCCCAAAAGACTTTGATACTTCAACCCTGACAGGTAATTAGACAAAATAGCCTCAGTCTGTACCAGACAAAGGTCAAAATTAAAGAGAGACCTCCAGGTCAGCAATAATATCTGAACAGAAACCTTTTGCAGTGCTTCTGTGGCTCTGCAGTCTGAGCATTGCATAGACCAAACTTTCAGGCATCCTTGGCTTTTCCTTCCATTTACCACACCAAGCCCTTCATCTTTGCTTAAATGCTAGTTATTCTTTTGCAGGGATGCTGGATTGCATATCTTCTCTTATTGCAACCTATCCGATTCCTGGTGCCCAACCTGAGACCCGAGGGCCACGTTTTGCCCTTTGGTACTTATCGCCCCTGCAGACCGTAGTCTGTGCTTCATTATAGACTTGTAGACTTCACCTCACCAACATCTCCAAGATACTCCCGTTCTTAACCTCTTGGCGCCGGCCGCTCGCAAATGTGCAGCCTCCCGGCATCTGGGCCTTGCAGCCAAGCGGCCGCACATTTGCGTGCAATTAAAAAAAACATATGTGCTTAGAGCACACACCCTGCGCACTCCCAGCACACATGTCCGGTACTCACGGAAAGGTTCCGATCTCCTCTTGCGATCGGGACCTTTCCCAATCATGTGACCGCCGTGACAGTGAATCATGGCGGTCACATGACCCTAAAACCCTGCCCCGCCTCCCGGCTTCTGAAACCCTTAAAGGGCCGGGAGGCGCCGGCGCCAAGGGGTTAACCTCTGAAACTACTAAGCAACTTATTCACTCCCTGGTTATCTCTCGCCTTGACTATTGTAACTCCCTCCTCATTGGCCGACCTCATCGCAGGCTATCCCCTCTTCAGTCTATCATGAATGCTGCTGCCAGACTCATCCACCTTACTAACCATTCTATATCTGCCACCCCTCTCTGCCAATCCCTTCACTGGCCTCCATTCAGTGTCCTCCACCCCTCTCTGCCAATCCCTCCACTGGCCTCCATTCAGTGTCCTCCACCCCTCTCTACGAATCCCTCCACTGACTTCCCGTTGCCCAACGGATAAAATTCAAAACACTAACAATAACATATAAAGCCATTTATAACTCTGCCCCAAATTAGATCACCAATCTTGTCTCCAAATACCACCCAAACTGTACTCTCCACTCCTTGCAAGACCTCCTGCTCTCTAGCTCCCTTGTCTCCTCCTCCCATGCTCATCTCCAGGACTTCTCCAGAGCCACCCCCATCCTCTGGAACTCTCTACCCCAATTTATCAGACTATCGCCTACTCTGCCCACTTTTAGGCGATCTCTGAAAACCTATCTCTTCAGGGAAGCCTATCCTGCCCTCAGCTAATAATGGAATCTTCTACTCCTCCTACCAGTCCATCCCCCACAGTTACTACATTTTGTACCACCAGCCCCTCCCTCCTAGATTATAAACTCCAAGGATCAGACCCTTCTAACCCTCTTGTATTGAACTGTATTGTTGCTGTATTGTCTCCCGTTATATTATAAAGCGCTGAGCAAACTGTTGGTACTATATAAATCCTGTATAATAATAATAATAATTATCTAGGTGCTTACTTAGGCCAGGGAAGGAAAATATTCCTGGCTTCTAGTTTGATTTGATAAATATTACATGTGGTACAAGCAATTTTAGGAGGGCTGTAGGGAGTGCAAATATTAAAGCACTGATTTGTGTAGGGCTGTGATAGCCGTGATCTCTAGCAGTTCCATGTAATGTTTCCCCAATCTCCAATAACTCTTACAACATATCTGACATCTTACTATATCTTGTAGCATCCTTGCAGTCTAGAACCATCTCCTTTTGCAAGTCTGCAGTCTCTGACCATCTCTTGGAACATCCCTGTAGCCTCTGACCATCTCCTTTTGCAAGTCTGCAGTCTCTGACCATCTCTTGGAACATCACTGTAGCCTCTGACCATCTCCTTTTGCATGTCTGCAGTCTCTGACCATCTCTTGGAACATCCCTGTAGTCTCTGACCATCTCCTTTTGCATGTCTGCAGTCTCTGACCATCTCTTGGAACATCCCTGTAGCCTCTGACCATCTCCTTTTGCATGTCGGCAGTCTCTGACCATCTCTTGGAACATCCCTGTAGTCTCTGACCATCTCCTTGTGCATGTCTGCAGTCTCTGATCATCTCTTGGAACATCCCTGTAGTCTCTGACCATCTCCTTTTGCATGTCTGAAGTCTCTGACCATCTCTTGGAAAATCCCTGTAGCCTCTGACCATCTCCTATTGCAAGTCTGCAGTCTCTGACCATCTCTTGGAACATCCCTGTAGCCTCTGACCATCTCCTTTTGCAAGTCTGCAGTCTCTGACCTTCTCTTGGAACGTCCCTGTAGTCTCTGACCATCTCCTGTCTGCAGTCTTAGACCATCTGACCATCTCCTTTTCATGTCTGCAGTCTTAGACCATCTCATATAACATGCTCTTAGTCTCTGACTATCTCCTTTTCATGTCTGCAGTCTTTGACCATCTCATGTAACATGCTCTTAGTCTCTGACTATCTCCTAGTGCATGTTTGCAGTTTCTGATCATCCTAGGAAAGGCTTTTTCAGGTCCCTCAATAAAAATGGCTAAAACCGAGTAAGCAGGTATTTAAAGTATAAGAGGGCCATGAACTGAAATGTCTTATGTGCCAGACAGAGGAATCTGGAAAAAGCCTCTTGGGATAGGAAAATAAATGCTCAGAATACTTTACTCACATTGTGGGGCCCAGCTTTCTGTAATCCTCCTTTATCACTTCTTTGGCTTTTGCCTCTGCATCCACTCGAATCTCTGATTTCTTCTCCCTTTTGCATCTGATATAACCACGTAAAAACATTGTGCAAGAATTATTGAAAGTATTTACAGTCCACAAAGCAGTACTTTATAACTTGGCAGATAGGTCCAGTACAGGAAATACAGGCATGTAGGTTTACAATAGCACATTGTGAACGCTGTGACATTATAGTTTGTATGCATTGAGATGTGCATGTCTGAACTGTACTGAAAATACATAGGGGGGTTCTTTAACAAAAATGTAAAAAAATTGCATTGCTATTTGTCCAACAATCTGCTGGTATGTACAGTATGTTCTATATGAATGGGGCGAAATGTCATGTTTTCCTATTTCCTCTTCAGGTCGAATGTTATATATTCATGAAAAATAAAGGGATTTGGGAAAATACCACATTATGGTCACTAGATGGAGCTGAGGGTCATACTTATATTCTATTTTTATAAATGCACCCAGGAGTGTATTGCAGTGACAAAACAAGGAAAATTCTGAAAATCTGCACTGAATAGGGTCGCCGACCATATTCGTCATTCTGGTCACAGAGTCAAGGTTCCACTTACTCCTCTGGTGGTGGGGGCATGTTGAAGGCACAATTTAATGGCACAGAGACTGTCTCTGCAGCATTCTTCTGTGAGTCCAGGTTGGCCTGATGACATACCCCCAGGAGGTGGCCCCTTGATACCATAGGCCCACAAGAATTGAATGGAATTAATTTGAAGGAGGACCAGCGCTGGACCACAGAAGGTAAGGCATGGGGGCAGCTCCAGCGTATGGAGGGAATTGAGTTAGAAGACTGGAGCTGAGCTTTAGGGTTTCATCTTTTGTTAAATGTCTAAACGTGCCAGTAAGTGCAATACCTGAGGCTGAACGCGCCGTGTAGAAGTGAGATCCATAACCAACCAAGTACAAGAAATATGATCATCAGCGGAAAAGCAAAGACAAACCAAGAGCCAAAGTTCACCACGTCACAGCCTGGGAAGAAGCTGCATAGAACATAGACATGTGCATTAGATTGTATGTAGGCAGTACTGAAGGGAACAGTTCCCCCCTCCCCATTGAGATTTTACAAAACAAAACTTATGTTATGTGCAGGGGCAGACTGACCATTTGGAAACTCGGGCACTGCCTGAGGGCCCGAGGTCAGTAGGGGGCCCCATGAGATGCCCCTGGTACCTTTTTCATAGGCTTTTTTGAGTTTGGGCAAGGACACAGGGGCCCCATGATCCCCTATTGCCCGGGGGCCCCAAGAGATGTCAGTCCACCCCTGGTTATGTGTAAAGGGTCACTGCGGATTCAGAATCTTAGTCAACCATATGGGGCAGCACAGTGGCTAAATGGTTAGCACTTCTGCCTGGCAGTACTCGGGTCGTTGGTTCGAATCCCAACCATGGCACTACCTGCCTGGAGTTTGCATGTTCTCCCTGTGCCTGCGTGGGTTTCCTCCGGGTACTCCGGTTTTCTCCCACACTCCAAAGACATGCTGGTAGGTTAATTGGCTCATGTCTAAATTGTCCCTAGTATGTGTATGTAGGAATGTGAGTTAGGGACCTTAGATTGTACGCCCCTTGAGGGTTAGGGACTGATGTGAATGTACAATATATATGTAAAGTGCTGCGTAAATTGATGGCGCTATATAAGTACCTGAAATAAATTAAATAAATATATGCTGCCATATGCAAAATGGGTGGGGCTTAAGTACATAAGTACATAGAATAATGTGGGTGTGGCTTAATACTGGAGGTGTGGCTTAATACTGGAGGTGGGGTTCAACCAGCAATTCTAGGTGACAATGAAACCAATCAATGAGCTACAAATGTTATCTATGATCAGCCAGAGTACACACAGCACCTCACAGGGTCACTGGGAGTGGACTTCCTGAAGCCTGTACTGTGTAATCCTCTATCTCTCAATTATATCTGAGCTCTCAATGAGAGTTTGAGTCCGACTGGTGGCCATCACAAACTTTGTTTTTTTTTATATCTGATTCTCTGTATTTGAGAGGCAACAAGAAGCCTGCAGTGGGCATGTCTAGGAATTCTTCTCCTGGATCACAAAGGGGATCCCAGATCACCAGAAACCAAATATGTGTGGCCTTAAGGACAAGTCAGACTTGGTATGTCATCATTGCTATATGTGGAATTACTGAGTCACACAAAGCATACATGTTGTCTACATCTCGCTGATGGCTGGTCAAGCGTAATAGAACAATCACCTCTTCAGCTGTCCCAGAAGGATGAGGTTGGGTGCTGTCCCAGTTAGGGTGGCGGTCCCCCCGATACTGGCAGAATATGGAATGGATATAAGGAACGCCTTCCAAATTCTGTTTTGGTATTCCCGTTCTTTCTCCATGTCGTTGCGTATGTCAATCGATATCTCCACTTTCTCAGGCAGCTCTTTTCTGTAAAGGGTTAACGTGTAAAGCCACATAATTTCTCATCGTAAAAGCAGGATAAACACATTTTTTTCACCATAATAAACTGAACCTATTGCTTCCCATGGGCATAGCACAGATTCACTTTAACCCCTTCACGCCGGCGCCTCCCGGCCCTTTAAGGGTTTCAGAAGCCAGGAGTCATGTGACCACCGTGACGCGACGTCACGGCATCACATGATCAGGAAAGGTCCCGAACGAAAGAGGAGATCGGGACCTTTCCATGAGTACCGGACATGTGTGCTGGTACCATATTGCCACTTTATTTGGTGGCAGTTTTTGTTTGTTCTTTTTCTTTCTTTTCTTTTTTTATATGTTTATTTATATATATATATACAGTGGGACAAAAAAGTATTTAGTCAGCCACCAATTGTGCAAGTTCTCCCACTTAAAGAGATGAGAGAGGCCTGTAATTGGCATCATAGGTAGACCTCAACTATGAGAGACAAAATGAGAAAAAAAATCCAGACAATCACATTGGCTGCTTTGGAAAGAATTTATTTGCAAATTATGGTGGAAAATAAGTATTTGGTCACCTACAACCAAGCAAGATTTCTGGCTCTCACAGACCTGTAAGAGGCTCCTCTATCCTGCACTCATTACCTGTATCAATGGCACCTGTTTGAACTTGTTATCAGTATAAAAGAGACCTGTCCACAACCTCAAACAGTCACACTCCAAACTCCACTATGGTGAAGACCAAAGAGCTGTCGAAGGACAACAGAAACAAAATTGTAGACCTGCACCAGGCTGGGAAGACTGAATCTGCAATAGGCAAGCAGTTTGGTGTGAACAAATCAACTGTGGGAGCAATAATTAGAAAATAGAAGACATACAAGACCACTGATAATCTCCCTCGATCTGGAGCTCCACGCAAAATCTCACCCCGTGGGGTCAAAATGATCACAAGAACGGTGAGCAAAAATCCTGGGACCACACGGGGGGACCTAGTGAATGACCTGCAGAGAGCTGGGACCAACGTAAAAAAAGGCTACCATCAGTAACACGCTACACCGCCAGGGACTCAGATCCTGCAGTGCCAGACGTGTCCCCCTGCTTAAGCCAGTACATGTCTGGGCCCGTCTGAAGTTTGCTAGAGAGCATTTGGATGATCCAAAAGAGGATTGGGAGAATGTCATATGGTCAGATGAAACCAAAATAGAACTGTTTGGTAGAAAAACACAACTCGTCGTGTTTGGAGGAGAGAGAATGCTGAGTTGCATCCAAAGAACACCATACCTACTGTGAAGCATGGGGGTGCTTTGGGGCTGTTTCTCCGCAAAGGGACCAGGACGACTGATCCATGTACAGGACAGAATGAATGGGGCCATGTATCGTGAGATTTTGAGTGCAAACCTCCTTCCATCAGCAAGGGCATTGAAGATGAAACGTGACTGGGTCTTCCAACATGACAATGATCCCAAACATACCGCCCGGGCAATGAAGGAGTGGCTTCGTAAGAAGCATTTCAAGGTCCTGGAGTGGCCTAGCCAGTCTCCAGATCTCAACCCCATAGAAAACCTTTGGAGGGAGTTGAAATCCATGTTGCCCAGCGACAGCCCCAAAACATCACTGCTCTAGAGGAGATCTGCATGGAGGAATGGGCCAACATACCAGCAACAGTGTGTGCCAACCTTGTGAAGACTTACAGGAAACGTCTGACCTCTGTCATTGCCAACAAAGGATATATAACAAAGTATTGAGATGAACTTTTCATATTGACCAAATACTTATTTTCCACCATAATTTGCAAATAAATTCTTTCCCAATCAGCCAATGTGATTGTCTGGATTTGTTTTCTCATTTTGTCTCTCATAGTTGAGGTCTACCTATGATGCCAATTACAGGCCTCTCTCATCTTTTTAAGCGGGAGAACTTGCACAATTGGTGGCTGACTAAATACTTTTTTGCCCCACTGTATATATATATATATATATACACATTTGTTATTAAATTTTTTTTATTTAATTTAAGTGTAGTTGAGGGCAGAGTGCGCTGTTTATGGTATTTCCATTCACTTTACACATTGTTTAATTAGTTTAAAAATAGCGGCTCCAATAATAATTTACATTTGAACTGTCACGTTAATGTGGCGCAATGTTGTAAGCTATTTGATGGATTGATCTATATTATAGACATCGTCTTCATATATATATATATATATATATATATATATATATATATATATATATATATATATATATAATTTTAAAATATTTTTTTCATGATCATAAAATATTTTATACATTTGATTTTTCAGTCCTTATAATAAATAAGGTATATACGAAGCCACTAGGCATTTCTTTCAAATAGTTCCATTTCACAGGTCTAGCTGACCCCGTCCTTTTACCTTTCCAACACATTGTTGTGTAATCTCTATAGGACTGCAGTACAAACACCTCCTGACTGTCCTACAAAGGACTGAGCCTCTTACCTATTGATTACATAAGCCCTTCCCTGTATTAAACACCCATTGGAGGCTGATAAGTGCCCTATCTCAGTTTGTTCAGTCACTTTGCCACCCCACCTCTGTTAGTAAAAGATATATTCTGATCTCTATGTGACTATTTGCCATGGTGGTCAGAGGTGTGCAGAGGAGGAATTTCCTTCATTTAAACTTATCTGATTAGACAGAATTTTCCATTTCTACTCAATTTTCTTTAATGCTCTTTTTTTCTCCATCTCTCTCTAGTTGAACTTAAGCCAACTTATCTTTACTTTTGGATAGGGTGGGGAATAGTAAAAAAGTTCTGGGAGGTTTTGATTTATGTCTGTCACTCCATCGAGGAGGTGTTGCCTCACTTCATGTCCCTGTGACACCCATAAATGAAATGGAGAGTACAGTTGTCACCAAAAGAGGAAGTCTCCACTGAAACATAGCCAGGAGTGCTAATCCTTGCCCATGCTTCCCTATTGCATAGAAGTGTCACTCCATCCAGGAGGTGTTACCTCACTTCCTGTCCCTGTGACACCCATAAATGAAATGGAGAGTACAGTTGTCACCAAGAGAGGAAGTCTCCGCTGAAACATAGCCAGGAGTGCTAATCCTAGCCCATGCTTCCCTATTGCATACAAGTGGTAGATTACTAGGCGTACTATCAAACCGGAGCACATGAAGGTTTCTAATAGAGTTGGGCTTGATGTTCAAGCCGAATGTAAGTTCGACTCGAACATTGGCCATTCATGTGTTCGGTTAACGCACGAATGGTAAGGGCTTTCGGCGGGCTCTTTACTCACCATGCCCCACAATGTACTGCACCCTGACAGTGCATAGTGATTGGCCAAAGCAAAGCACCTGACCACAGGCCAATCACAGCTCATGATGATGTCACAAGGGGACGGGTTCACCCGGTTGATGTCACCCTTATATATTTAAGAACTATCAGGCTGGTGCAGCTGTCATACAGCAGGAGACAGCGTCGAGAGCGGAGCATTTTTTCCTTTTCTTTTTCGGGTCATCGGTGGTTGACATTGGATCTATTTAATTTTTAAAATGTTTGTTTTTAATAAAGGACTTGTCAAAGACGGTCTCCTGTAATTTTTTTGCACTACACTTTTTTTTTGTGAATGAGTAGCGGTACCTTATACCCATACTCATTTACATAGGGGGGCAGGGATCTGCCCCCAGATTCCGATAAGCCCCTTGCCTCAAGACCCCCACAACTGTGGCCGGTGGTAATGGAGGTCTGCGGGCACCTTGTCCCCATCAACATGGGGACAAGGAGCTTTGGGGGGGAGCCCCCTGCCCCAAAGCACCCCCAATGTGGAGGGCATGTGACCTGATATGGTTCAGGAGGGCTCGCTTGTCCCCCCCTTTCCTGACCTGCTTGGATAAGGGTCTGGTATGGATTTGGGGGGACCCCACGCCATTTTTTTTAAATTTTGATGTGGGGGTTCACCTCAAAATTAATACCAGACTCAAAAGGCTTGGTATAAATGGAGGTGGGAAAACCCCATGCTATTTTTTTTAAATTTTGATTTGTGGGTTCCCCTCAAAATTGATACCAGACTCGAAACGCTTGGTATGGATGGAGGGGGGAACCCCACTCCATTTTTTTGTTAATTTTTTAATTTCCGGCAATTCTTTTTCTATTAAAGAATGTATTAAAATACAGCATGACTTAATAATATAACTCCCGCAGTAATTTAGTAGCTGTGCAGTATCTTACCACTTACTCGGGTGTGGTAAGATACCACTTAGTGAATTGTCCTGGTTCAAAGTTCACGGTCGAACTTTCATTAGGTTCGATTGTTCGACCGCAAACCAAACAGGGGGTTGTTCAGCCCATCACTAGTTTCTAAATGTCTGAACACAAAACAAACTTACTCCTCCATGCAGGTAAGCAGCTGCAGTTCTGTCGACACAGGATGTAATCCTTTTTCTTGCAAAGAAGCTAAAAGACAGATGAATGTGTTCATTAGAGCTGCAGTTTTTCTTTTGAGAACAAAAAATTAACCTTTAAAAAAAAACAAATCTCTTTACAAACCATATTTTAAAAAATAAAATCAGAATCAGGATGTCCACAACAAAGTATACTGCAAAGTCTGTGACTGGATAAGGAATGAGTAGCAGGACACCAATCAGGTCACCACTCTTCTCTCCCTTCATTTAATAGTTTCACAGACAGTGCTGCATCTGTGAACAGAGCTTTCATTGGCTGTGAGTGCTATCTTCTCCCTCTCCCAGTGTGAGTGCTGCTTTATATAACAGAAGGATAATATAAAGATAGTTTTAGGTACTTTGCTAGCAACCAGAATAAAAAAAGCATCTGGATTAGATGTCTGAATGGAATCTCCGACCTTTTTTTTTTTTTTTTTTCCTTTTTATTATTTTAGCTCCCTGAGCCTCAGGCACATGAGCATGCTTGTTTGATGGAAAGGTTTTTTTTTATGCTATAATTCCAGTGTCTCCTCTACC